CATAAACCAACCCACTTTTTCTTCAACAAGGCAAACCCCATTAATGTTTTGTTTGCCCGAATCGATGCAAAACCATTCCATTTCCTCTCCCCTCTCCCCTCTCCCTGCCTATCCTCTCCCCTCTCCCCTCTCCCCTCTCCTCTCCCCTCTCCCCTCCAATTTGGTGCACTGAATAGGACTAATGAACTTTCTTGGGTTATTTGCATCTGGACATGTTTGCCAGATACTTGCTAGTCTACTGATAACTTTGGAGGCTCTGGATGCAAGCTTTGTGCTGCATTTGCAGATTCCCTTTGTCATGAGACCATTGCCATGGTGATAGGGCTAAAGATAGAAGCAGCATGAAAGTGTTTAATGGGCTGCTCTTTCCTTTCTGCAAGATAGAACGCAATGGAGATGGGAATCAGCAAATTGGGGTTCGCCACAGCAATAATATACACTAGTGAGTGTACATTTCCCATGGAGAAGAAGGAAGGAATATCTGAGTGAAGCAGATGACAATGGATGCATGTCCTATCTGAGGTCTGGTGTATACAAACATCAGATGAGGTGACAGAGTAACCAAATTGCAGTGTACTTCTTCAAATTGCAAGCTCATCTGGGGGTGGGAGAGATCTGAAAACAGGGCAGTACATGAGAAAACTCCCATCCACGCACCTCTCTGTCTTGCAAGTAGTCTGATCTCGGAGTGGAGCCATCCGAGGGAGAGGATGCTTTTTGCGACTGAATTATAGGTTCAGATTTCTTTTCTTTTAACTAGTCCTGCTTCATTGTATGGTGGACACAATGTAAATATAAACATATTGGATTATGAATCATTTCAGATCAATTTTGTAAAAACTGTTGTCCACAGTTAAACTCTTGATTTTAACTGGTGTGAACTATATATTGAAATATAGATATAGGTAGGATCCTTCCCTTTTTAAAAAATAAAATAAAAAACCCTCATCTTTTACATTTGATGTGTTCTAATCAAATTGGGTTATTTAATTACCACAATTATCAAATTAGTGAAACATAACCAAATGCTTTCCTTATTACCTAATGCTCACAGGACACTTTAATTGCCAGTTTATTTACATATTTGGGAGCCGCAGTACTGAATTATTTACACTCAGACTGCCTCTTGTTGAACTTGCCTATGGTACTGATTGAGGTAATTTCAAAATTTAATGCGAGAAGTTTATACTGCGGTGAAAAATGAAAGCCCAGCAGAATAAGAAGGATGGGAATAAAGCCATTAATTATGGATTTAGATTGCACTGTACAAGAAATGAATTACAAATCTGGGTTCTAAGCTCACTAAACTAAGCAAAAGGGAATGAAGAGCCTCTTGGATGCATTGGCTTGCCAGAGTCAGAAAGTATGGTGTAGGAATACCAGAACATGTAATACAAGTGGCAGTGACAATGGCTTGGGAAATAGGAGTCTGTGGCCTACCTACACAGGTGTGTGTGTGTGTGGGGGGGTTGTTGGCTGGGGGCAGTAACCAATTCCCATGTCCTGTCAGTGCAAGGATTTCTGCTTTGACAGTGGGACTCTCTGCCCTTCTGTTACCGTCCCTGTGGAAACCTTTCCCAAATACATTCAACAAAGTTGGGGGGAAACCAGATTTGACTCTGAGTAGTGTACAGTTGGGACGCGGGTGGCACTGTGGGTTAAACCACTGAGCCTAGGACTTGCTGATCAGAAGGTCGGTGGTTTGAATCCCCGTGACGGGATGAGCTCTCGTTGCTTGGTCCCTGCTCCTGCCAACCTAGCAGTTCGAAAGCACATCAAAGTGCAAGTAGATAAATAAGTACGGCTCCGGTGGGAAGGTAAATGGCGTTTCCGTGCGCTGCTCTGGTTCGCCAGAAGCAGCTTAGTCTTGCTGGCCATATGAGCCGGAAGCTGTCTGCAGACAAACGCAGGCTCCCTCGGCCAATAAAGCGAGATGAGCGCCGCAACCCCAGAGTCGGTCACGACCGGACCTAATGGTCAGGGGTCCCTTTACCTTTACCTTTACTAGTGTACAGTTATTGGGGCACGAATCCACACAAGAAATTGTGACAGCCAGCGAGCCCTTCTTAACCAAGACAGACACTTAGGTGCTAATAAAGCTGAAATGTTTAAGTGTCCACTGTTTCTTTGCAAGGGGGAAGGTTGGCAGAGATCCAGAACAGGTGGGGAAGAATATAAGCTTTCTCCCTGCAGCGAAGCAACTGTCACAGCAGGGACCCCCCCGCCAAGAACCAAAGTAAGATATTTTCTTCAGTTTAGTGAGGTGTTAACTATTTGTAAAATAGCAATGCTTAAGTTTGGCAGACTCTTTGCTAGTGTGGAAGATGGCAAGGAAAACCAAAATGTGGTCACCCTATTGCCTATCATTGGACATGGCCCCATGACTTCTCAGCAGCCCCATAGGTCTAGTGGGGGGACGCGGGTGGCGCTGTGGTCTAAACCACTGAGCCTCTTGGGTTTGCCAATCGGAAGGTTGGCGGTTCAAAACCCCGTGATGGAGTGAACTCCCGTTGCTATGTCCCAGCTCCTGCCAACCTAGCAGTTCGAAATCATGCCAGTGCAAGTAGATATATAGGTACCACTGAGGTAGGAAGGTAAACATTGTTTCTGTGCGCTCTGGCACTCATCATGGTGTTCTGTTGCACCAGAAATGGTTTAGTCATGCTGGCCACATGACCCGGAAAGCTGTCTGTGGACAAACACCGGCTCCCTCAGCCTGAAAGCGAGATGAGCGCCGCAACCCCATAGTCACCTTTGACTGGAATTAACCATCCAGGGGTCCATTACCTTTTTCCCCCTTTAGGTCTAGTGGGTACCAGATGCAACTGTGTAGTTTATGCATAAATAAATCCAAGGTGCTGGATCCAGAGTTAAGTATGAATAGTAGGGTTGGTGGTAGCTGTCTTTCCTTCTCCGTCCTGCCTTTGGCAGCCCTCTAGCCCTTAAAAGAGCTCCGCTGAAGATTGAGGATCAGGTACCTTGCTCAGTGAAGTGGTGTTGGTTTCTCAGTGCCCTAGTGGAGCATTTTCAGGAGGCTGCCATAGGGAGGAGAGTCCTTACGGACTTACAGACAAGCTTCTTACTGACATGCCACATGAATGGATCCAATCCATAAAACAAAACAAATGATCTCGTTTATTTTAACTGGAAGATTGGTGCTGCTTCGCCTCTTTTATTTTCCTTTCTTTACGCACCTTATATTTTTGGCTTGCCTGATTTGTATTTATAGCCAGGCATGGCAGTACAAAATGTATATATATTAACTTTTCAAAAGTGAAAAATGTCCTTTAGGTAGTGTTCTGTAGTGGAATAGGTCACCTAGAAAGAATGAGCTGGCTAGAGACACAGATGCTAATCAAAAATATTCATATTTAGGACTGAGAGGAGAGTACATACTCTATCAAACCTAAATAGTACCCCTGACACAGTATGGTGTAGTGATTAGAGTGTTGTACTAGACTTTCAGAGACCACAGTTGAAATCCTCACTCAGTCATGAAACACTCTCTGGATGACCTTGGGTGACTCACCGTCTCTTAGCCAAACATACCTCACAAAGTTGTTGTGAGGAGAAGATTGGAAGGGGGGAAACTATGTGCCCCACCTTGAGTTCTTTGGGGGAAAGATGGGTTGTGAACAAAACAGCTAAATCTCCATCCATAATCCTGTGAAAAGCCCCAGAATTCCTCAGCCAGTTTCCTCTACTTCAGTGAAAATGATGTCAGACGAGTCAACAGAAAAGTTTACTTGAGGAAGAATGACCCTTCTCCCCATTACTTTCTAAAGAATCTGTGAAATGTATCAAATGAGATTTGTGTCTTAACTATGCCCTCCACAATATCTCTCTGCAGGATTAAAATAAATGACAGGCCTTTGTTTGTTGCATCTATTGTTATTTAATATATTGTGCTGTTTCTGAAGGATTAGTGTCATCAGAAGTGTTTTTTTGTTTCAAGCATCTTTCAGTTGGAAGCAGAAACAGCCTTTGAGGAAGGTAGCTTATCCCCCATTTACATCACTTCAAATGAGAAATAATATGTTGCCCATGCCCATAAATAGTTTCTTTGGTTTTAACCTGCATTTTGAGCCCTTTGGTAGAAAACAACTTAGAAAGAGAAGTTTGTCTTTCGATGTTTAGCAGGAAATTTTTCATTTCCCCTCCTTTATCTAAAGTAGAGGGACCTCATTTACATAACGAATGTAATTAATCTGATCAAGATAAATTTTATTAACTGTGCCGTCTATGTGCCTTGTAGAAGGAATAATTAGGGGAAGAACTTCGTCTGAAATTCTGGAGAACTGCTGCCAATCAATGTAGACAATGCTTGATGGACCAGTGGCCTGATAGCAGTCTATCTTCCTAATCAACAAGTTTGCCTCCATTAATAGGGTTGCCTTCCTGCAATCTAAGGATCCCGCAGATAAACGAAACACAGCCAGACTTTAACGTCCCCCATCTCACCCCGTTTCCACTCCTGGTGCCTTCTCACTCCCTTCCTTCCCTAGTAAGCAGGACTCTTAGATACAATAGAATGGTATCTATTCTAATATCGCAAAACAGAAGTCATTTGCATTCTTTTGGCTTACAACCCAAACCAGATAATGTATTTGAAGGAATGCTCCAAGTTCCTTTTGCTTTGTGCATTTTACACAATTAGAGACTGAGTTATAATTATCTTGAATAAAAGGAGATTGAACAGCTTAAGACATATTACATGAGGCTGATTAAAGGTTCTCCTGAAAGAGTTTATTTAGGAGAAACAGAGCAGAAGAAATTTGAAATGGATTGTGTGCAATACATTCTCTGCATAAATATAGCAAGTGAGCCAGTAATAAAAGAACACATAACTTTTGGACTTGAAACTGCAACTTCCTTTTCTGTTCAACTTAGTACCTTTGTTTAACAAGCAATGCAAATCTTCATCCTGCCTGTGCACTGCTTTACACTAGGGTGGCCATGGAACATCGGAAGGCAGTCCTCAATTTGAAGGTTGTTTCAGAGGGGATGTGGTTCAGTGGTAAGGCATCTATTTTCCATACATAAGGTTCCAGGTTCAATCCCCCGTATCTCCAGTTGGGCTGTGAGATTCTCCTGCTTAAACCTCTGGAAAGGCAAGTGCCAATTAACGTAGATAAAAATTAGCTAGATAGGCCAATGACCTGACAGTTCCTATGTTCCTATACAGGAGTCCTCTATGTGCAGGGATGCCCAGTCCAAGTCTGGCTTAAAATTAAATAAGAAATAAATTAAATAAGAAGAGCGATCAGAGGCCATGAAGTTGACCATCTCTAGTGACACAGGTCACAAGTCTTCCCCACTAACACAAGATGCATTATATTTCTATTTAAATTAGAATTCTTTTAAAATTATAGTCATTATTTAACATAAGAACGTACAAAGAGCCTGCTGGATCATCTCACAGTGTCCTCTTTTATCTGCTCCTTTGGCAGTGCATTTCCTCTCTTGTTGTGATGTGTAAGTGGCTATCACATTTTACATACACAGTACATATTCACTACTCACACTTGTGGCATCAGGCAGTGACTTGAGAGAATGATCACCAAAAATCACTCTCACACATATTCTTCCCCACACCTTCAAGATGTTATCTGAAATTAAGAGCACCTTTAGTGGCAACTAGGATAAGAGAGTATTTACTGAAAGCTGGCTTGGGACTGGGAGCACATTCTTCCAACTGAAAGTGGCCAGCTTAAACAAGGGGTGTGTGTGTGTGCGTGTGTTTTAAAGCATGAACAACATTATGTGAAGTTTGGTCCAATGACCAGTTTCTCTCTGTTCCCTTCAAAAATGTGTGTGTTGAAATTTTCATATGAAGGGGTCACATTTTGTCAAACACTTCAACTGGCATGAATGGTGATATATTTGTGTGTATATCTGTACTGCAAACCTGTTGTATTGACAGGCAAAAATGTTCGTTTTAATTTCTCATTGGGTAAGACCTTTGGACTTTACGATAAAGAACAATATATTTCGTTCATGTTATGGATGATCCTTCCTATCTATAATGGAAAGAATTAGCTTTTATGTTATTTCCATTTGTCTTAAGTTTCAAATTGAGTTCACTCTGGAAGAAACTTTATGATGAGCTATTGATTAAGAGTTGATTTACCATAGGTCTCTTCAGATACATGAGTAAAGCCAAAAGGACTATTTGTCAGTGGTCATGACTCAAGGCCTATTTTCTGGGATCATTTTTGTCCTTGCATTGACCAGTTAACTGAGGGAACAGCTATCTGTACTGCTGCAGCAGCCAAATGTATTGGTAGTCCATCAACCCTGGCTCTGTTGCAAATCGCCCTTGGGATGCAGCTAAGAAGGAGCAGATTATGAACAGCAGAGACACTGCATTCAATTCACATTTTAATGGCAACCTACTTAATTCATACTTCCCTAAACAATGTTCCAACTAAAACTCAGCTGCCCTTTGAAATTTGCAGTTTTCTGAATCTTCTGATGCAGTTCTCCACCCCCAAAAATTGTCTACAAATATGTGGGGGAGAGTGTAAATGCATAAATGAATGAAAATATCATACAAAAAAGGCATTCTGTTCAGAGAAAACTGCTTACAAGTTGTCTCTATCAGGCAAAATCGCAAAGAGCAGAATTTGCACTAAAACTGCGACAACGTTTTTGTGACGAATGATGAACACTTGACGCAGAATGGTGACAAACTGAATTTAAGATGGGGAAAAGGAGAACCTGGCACGGGCAAATGCATCCACCCATAGAGTGGAGAAATGTATTTTGCTGCCCTTCTTCAGCTGCCTCCATGTTGCCAGCTGGAGAAAAAAACAGACTCAAGTTTATAAGATAAAACACAGGCCTGCAAGACAGATGGGAGTGAGTGGAGCTTGGAGGGAGGAGTTTCAAGGAGTGAGAATCTCATGGAAGAAGCTGGCAGAGTGCCAAATTCACAGCATACCTGCAACACCAGGTTGTCTGAATCCATTCTAGATAACTGACCACATCCAAATTGCAAGAAGGCTAGCACAGCTGTCATAGCTACAGAGAGTAAACATTAATCACTGACCAAGCGAATGTGCAATTATTATTAGTAGTAGTATTACTACTACTACTAGTAGTAGTATATCCATCTTTCCCCCAAGAAGCTCAAAGTGGTATACATGACTCTGCCACTCTCAATTTTATCAGCACAACAACCCTGAGAAATAGGTCAGACTGAGGGAATGTGATTGGATCACCCTTATGTAGTGAGCTTCATGGCTGAGTGGAGATTTATGCCACAGTTTTCCAGGTCTTAGTCAAACACTCTAACCACTATACCACATTAAGACTAAGATCCCGTGCATACTTTAAACATCATTGTCCTCACTGGCACTTGCTTCCAATGAAATAAATACACACAAAATCAGCCTCTAAGTAGTTCTAAGCTTTAGCATTCCTTCCCTTCCCCAGGGAAGTCCCAATCCTGAGTGAAAGTCCTATAGTTATATTTTCCATTCAATAATAATTCCCATTGAAATGAATATTTGATTCCCCATCCCCATGCTAATTGCTGGCATGGGGTGAATGCTCTGGATTTAAGACTGCAATGGCGGGCAAAAGCTAAATCTACCCCAGTGCTATGGTCTCAATCCCCAGGCCCTGACTATTTCAGAAAGGAAAATCATGTACCCAAAGACAAACCTCATGATCATCATTACTTATAGCTTGGCCCTCAGTGTCCCTCCAAGTGTCCCTATTTTCCAGGGACAGTCCTGGATTTACAGAAGCCATCTCGGTTTCTGATTTCATCCCAGGATGTCCTGCTTTTCCTTAGGATGTCTGTATTTTCAGAGAAAATGTTGGAGGGTATGGAGTTATGCAACCACCGAGCCAAGGAGATAAGTAACTATACAACCTTTAGAAGGCATCTGAAGGCAGCCCTTTATAGGGAAGTTTTTTTAAAAACATATTTAATGTTTTATTATGTTTTTATATATGTTGGAAGCCACCCAATGTGGCTGGGGCAACCCAGTCAGATAGGTGGGGTATAAATAAAATTATTATTGTTGTTATTATTATTATTATTATTATCATTGAAGAGGACACCCCTATTTTCACTGGAAAAATGCTGGAGGGTATGTCAGTGTCATTAGAAACAAGCAGAATGAATAGGCTCCAGCATATTTGAATCCAAGTCCTTAATGGAATAGCAAATGAATAAGTAATATTGTCATGTTCTATTGTGCACACACTTGCCTGAATTTGTAACATCTAAGCTGTCGAAAGGAGTCATCAGCAGAATGTCTGTTGCACCTGAGCCCTCTAACCGCATGTACAAGAAAAATAATCACGGTTAATCAAATAACCTGATATGCCTGCTGCTCTCCAAATCGTTTCTGCTCCAAACCTGGTGCCAAAAGAAGGGCCAGGAATTAGAAATGTCTGCCTGGAGTAGACCCAAATATTATTTTCTCATCCACTAAGAGAATGAATGAGATTCAATTAAAATAAGGAGATTTAAGAAGAAATTTGACAAGAGGTAGCTACTAAACCTTGGCAAGAGGTTGAAAGAGCACATTTTATGACCAGAAGCCCACAAATGTGCTTGCCAAGTCATGACTGGCAACCATTTTATTTTTTTAATATGGTGGATACCTGTTCTTGCACAAAGAGCTAGGAACTCATCTCTGGGCTTTGGTAACACTCAGAAGCAGTAAGAAATTTTGCTTCTGAATATTTCAAAGATACAGTGGAACTGGAAGCCTGGGCTCCTGCATGTCTCCTGAGCTTTGAACATGTGAGTAGAGAAGAAGTTAATTCCTGATTTTGTGCTGGACCTTGGAGGCACTTTGAAGCAATGCCACTCTTTCTGAGTGCCACCAAAGCCCAGCACAAAATTCCCCGCTGAATTTCTTGCCTTACCTTCTCCCTCTGTGTGAGCAACCATGACCCACCTGCCAGGAAGTTGGCATAGTAACTTTGCCCCACCCAAAGAGCTAATTCTGTGTGTTTGCAAATATTTCTGGAAGACGAAAGTCATTTCCTGTTTTCTGGATTAACACAACATATCCTGGCACTGCTCCCAGTGCCATGTCCCCATGTCACAACAGTGAATTGAGCGTAGACACCTACAACAAGGTGCCTGTGTGTGAACAGAGGTCCTGATTCCCCAGAGAGCCTACAGGATTTTCCCACCTTTGCAACTTTCTTAAATAATAAATTAAGTCTGCTGGTATTTACTGTTCTGTTATACAGAATCTCATTATAGCCCCTTTTATCTACCAGTTATTATTAATTAAGGCTCTTTCTCAAATGTTCTTCCACTTGTCATGCATGTTGCTTTATTTTGTACCTAGTTTAAATGGTGCTAAAACTGCTTTGAAGTTTTCCACTAATTTAAACGAAAGGACCACTGTGTAGTGCGGTAAGTGTTTATTCTTTGTATGCTGCAAAATTCATTTTTTTTATTTCCAGTTTTTGTCTTTGATCCCACTTTGAAAAGTTTTATTTTTTTAATATGATTAAAATACTTTTTTAAACAACGAGTAATAAACCATTAATTTATAATCAATGCTACTTACAAATGAGAGAATGATAAATTGGAGTAATGGAGCCGTGTGTGCTTCATTAATTAAACACTGGCCAAAAAAAGAAAAAAAGAAAAAAGGCATGATTGTTCACTATAAAAATACTTCAAACTTTTGAGGAGAAAGTTTCAGTTCAGGTGGACTGAGCTAATTACCATATCCAAACTTCAATTTTTTTATCCATTATTGCAATCTTACAGTGTAATCCGGATGGCTGGAGTTAAGATGGGGTAGAGGTGCTTCTCTGCCTCTGCAGGAAGGCAGATATGTAACATTCCCTTGCAAGTCCAAGATATACCACATATCAAGTTATATTTACCATACAGTATATTGAATTTAAAAATAATGGTCAGCCCCCAAGGAGCTGTTAGAATTCCTGCTTCATGATTGCAGTCATGGGATTGTTGTCTATCACACGACGGTGTATGTTTTGACTCCACAGAGTGGGATGTGACAGAGACAGGATGTTTGTGTTACTGTGTTCCGTGAAGTGGGACTATTGTCCTTTGTTCTTTTTA